TCCGCAGGCCGACGCTCTATACACTGAGCCAAACCGGTTATGGCTCATCTTTAATGCTTTTTAAAATCAGGAGGAAACAAGCTTATATTAATGACCATGTAATAATGAATCCAACCTTGACTCTATTCATTTTTTTCTAACACAACTATAAAATGTAACATTAATATTTTTAATGGAGGATGGGCCCAGGAAGGCAAGTGTATGTGTGGGTATCAGAAAGTCATCCTTGGACCCAGTTCCACTGCTTCCCCAAAGGGTCAGTGGCATTTCTCCTTAACTGGGTATTCCTTTTCCAAGGCATTGTCCATTTCTTCCAAATTTCTCCCTCCGTTGGCCTTTTATCCTTTTCACAAGCCTCATTTCCTCCATCATATAATCTCACCAAAGTGAATTATAAATGGGCCATGAAATTATCTGCCCCTAGTGACTGATGTGTCCCCAGCGGCATACACCAACATAAGATCCTTTGGATTTCTCTGGTTTCTAGACTCCAGACTTGCTCAGGGTCACATTGTCCATCAGAAGACTAACCCCTGGCAGCCCCTGACTCCTTGACTTCAACTTATTCACAACATCACAGGCCCCTTGTTCTGTAACTGCAGGAGGGTCTCAGGATGGAAGAGAAGGAAGACTCATCAAATGAGTTTGTAAGGGAGTTTAGAGATAAGGGAATAGAATTTTAGTTATAGAATAAAGATTTTTTTCAAAAGAAAGATCTCAAAACCCTTTGGTTTTAAAGCTATGTTGTGAATTTGAGAAAAGACATTATAGATGAAAAAATTTGGGTAGTATCTTTCTGTTCCCAGGTCTTTTAAGTCAGTCTGTGGTCTTCATTAGGCCTATGATGATGTGCACCTGTCTTCCTAGCCCTTTGTCAACAAAACAGGTCCTGGCACACAGAATTTCTCAGAATGCACTCTTTAATGAAATTGAATCAGATAAGACAACATTTAAAAGGAAAATAAGAATCTGGAAAAAAAATGACAGCAACACTAATTACTGAATAACAAGTATTCTTATAAATTGTATGAAAGCAGTAATTTCATTTGACATGTATGGTTATGCGGGCATACATATAATCTCCTTAAGAGAGTACAAGTTCCTTAACAGGGGGACACTGAATTGTTGAAGGAATTGGTTAGAAAGAGCAGCAGAATTGTCACTGTGAACGTTCTCATGATTTAGTGGCACATGGGCTAAAACAACCACCACATTTCAGCCCTGGCTGTCACATCCTATGGCAAACTCCAATCTAAAGAAAACTACCTGTCACTTGGCTTTTCTACCACATGTGAAGGTGGGAATTGAGCACATGGACCAGGAGCTGCATGTCTGTGTGTTGAGGCAGAAGGAAGGGCTTGGTTGGAAATAGAGAGTTTTTAGTTCATCCTGACTGCATCCACAGAGAAACCCTCTCATTGACAGCATGGGACTGAGTAAGTATATATTTCTCTTTCTCTTTCAGTGCTGTAG